TTTCTTTTTGTCAGTTTCTAAACTTTTGGATATTTTTTTGTCTCTTAGTTTTTTTTTAATAGCTAATTACCGTTTTATCACACTCTTATTGCTTCGTGTACAATATATTGTCATACATAACATATTTTACCGGAGTGAAATAGTCTTGAATAATAAATTAGGTGCTAATTTCTAATAACATTTTATAAAAAAAAGCTACAATCTAAAGAGAATTAACTTTATGATGCAAATGACTCGTGTATATAATAAGTTGACACTTTTTAAGAGAAATGTCGATTATACATTTTTGAGAGTCTTTTTATGTAATTAAAAAATCTTTTGTCTCTCCTTCAAACATTTTGGTGGAGTTCCACCGCTTCCTTTAACACAATCGATATAGCTCCAGTGGGTCACACATCACCATCATATCTAGCTTCATCTCCTCTCGGGTAATCCACCAAACCAACCTCCCCTCTCGCTCCATCATTTGTTGCCATGGACTTGAAACTTTCAGCTGAGAGTCATATTGCCACTTTTCCTCCTCCACCAACCACAATCCAACTCTCTTCTGGCACAGTCCTCATCGCTGATCATGCAACACCGACTTAAAACGCTTAATCTTGCTGATCTCTATTTCTCTTTTCTGCTGCCATTAAATTACCGTTAATAATTTGATGCTGACAAATTTTTCGAAGGAGACAAAAATTGTGGTTGCGACAAAAATAGAGAATGGTTGGGCTGTAAAGACCGTTGCTGCTATGGTTTTTAGTCGCACGTCCTTAGGTTTCAGTGAAGAAAATCAACACTTATCTAGCGGCAATTTATCTATTTTCTTGCAAACTATACTACAAGTTTTATGTCTGTAAACACTTTAAAAAAAGTTTATAAAAACAACATATTTGCAGTTAGACAAAAAAAAACAAGATATTTGCATTTTTACTCTTATTTAAACTGTTATAGTTTTTTGTCATTTTTGTAAAGCATTTAAAATTTTATTACTTTTTAAATGAAATAATGATTAAATCTCTTCTGATGCTATATCGTGTACCATATATATAAGACGAAGAAGATGCACTTTGACTGGTCAGATGAGGAAGATGATGAAAAGGTAAACAATATGACCTGGCTGATAGTGAGGATGATTAGTGAGGAAGATGGAATTTGACTGGTCAGATGAGGAAGAAGATGAAAAGGTAAACAATATGACCTGGCTGATTAGTGAGGATTCTAAATTTGAGAAAAATTGTTATCTTGCAAGAATGAACAAAGAGACGAAAATTACTATGAAGAAGAAGGCTAAAGAGAATGCACTAGATGCTGCTGCATGCGCCTCAGCAATGTCTAATTTAATTTGTTGGCGAACTACATGGCTGAGTTGGTGACCCGTAAAGTAAAAGATGATATTTCCAGAAATAGACAGGAAGATATCGCTTTGTGCATCCAACATTGAGGAGGTGAAAGCACTTGTTTTGGACATCAATGTCATGGTGGCTAAAGAGATTTTAGGAGCTGTCAAAACAATTTTAGAAGTTGTTATCTCTAAAATTGTTGGATTTTTGGAGAAGTATGTAATTGTATTAGTAGCAAACAGAAAAAACATAGTAAAATAACCATCAAATGTTAGTTATGATGCTGAGGCAATCGGAAGATCAAGGGTTCACAGTGGACTAAAAATAGCCATAGGCTCATCGGCAGTCTCTCATCTCTTTTTTGCTGATGATAGCATGATTTACTGCCAAGCAAAATGACTCAGAGCTGAATCAGATAGTTCGCATATTAGAGAAGTATAGCCCTGCATGCTTCAGGCCAAAAGGTAAACTACCAGAAATCAAGTGTGTATATTGGGAAGCTCATTCCAGAACCAAGAAGAGATGACATTAAAATGAAGCTGAGAATCACTCAGGATGGAGGTAATGGTATGTACCTGGTCTTCCTGAATCCTTTGGTGGGTCAAAATTCTCGGTCTTACGGTTTCTGAAGAACAAACTAAACCAAAGAATCAATAGATGGCAAATGAACTTACTCAACCCTGGAGGCAAAGAAGTTTTGCTGAAAGCAGTGGTGCCATAGCAGAATTCTGGTGGAAAAACAAGCCAGAAACCAAAGGGTTTCATTAGAAAGCTTGGGAGCATCTCAGCAAACCAAAAAGTGAAGGAGGATAGGGTTTAAGGACATTGAAGTTTTCAACTTGGCTAATCTGAGGAAGCAGTTATGGCATATGTTAACCACAAGGATATTCTTATAGCTCGGGTTTTCAAAGGAAGAGACTTCAACAAAGCTGACCGCTGACTGCTAAACTGGGATCCCTGTGATATATTCATATCATTGCATGTTTAAGGTGCATTTTTGGTCCAAAAATTGAGTATCATTCATACATTTTAGATAGATTCTTCATGTTTTATACTTGTTTTAGAGTTTTAGGACTTTGCATTAGGTCCAACTGAGTCTTGCATGTTTGGAGTGTTAATAAGGTGCTTTGGAGGTCATTTGGAGTGGAAAAAGATGGAATCAGGTGAAGGAGTTGTGAAAGAAGGTGGAAAAATGGTGGAAATTGGGTTTTGGAAGTTATCGGCTAAAAAGCTTACCGCATGAAGGATTTTATCGGCCAAAAAATCCTTCCCGGGAAGCTTTTCTCGGCCAAAGTCATGTACTGGATCGAGCAACATCGACTAAAATCTCCTGCCGCGGGAAATGAGTTTTATCAGCTAAAGTGTTGTCTGTACATGAAACCTCGGCCAAAATCACCAGGTTCCGATACGCACCAAAGATCGCGTTACTAGGATGCCTTAACTTCCGATTCAGCCTCCGGGGTCTTCAGAAAAGTTCAAGAGGATTGAGTCAAGGTTACCAGAACAGTTGGAATAAATGGATTTTGAGCAGTGAGGTGAAATTTATGGCCAACAGAAGACGAACCTGTTTCGCATCCATTCCGGACCAGTCCGATGTGCCTCAAAGATCACTCAGGAAGATGACCTTCCCTTCCGATCCAGTTTCCGGTGCCTTCATCAAGATTTGAGAGCTTTTAAGTTTTTTTTCCAGAACGCTTGGAATCATCCTATTTGGAGAGTTGAGTCATGAGATATCGCAATCAGGATACAGATATGTCCCGCAGCAAGAAACCGAAGCCTCCCGAGCCGTTGTAGAAACCCATTTACAAGAAGGCCTTCCTCACCCCGGATGCACTCAAGTTCTTCATCAAAGTTTCAGGAAATCGAGCTTCCTTCTTTCTGGAGTTTTTCCAAGTCATTTGGATTAATACCCACGAGTTATGCCAGTTCAAGTAAAGGTTGGCCCGAGAAAATGAGAAAAGCTGCGACATGGCTGTGCGACTTGGTTAACTCGCAGCAGTGAAGGTTTAAACTCTGGGAGCAAGCTGCGACTTGAATGGTGCGGGTAAGGCGACTCGGAGCAGGGTAGAGACTTCCAAAGCTCAAATTATGCTAAATCCACAAGGCTGTGCGACTTGGGAGTGCGAGTGAGAAAAGGAGCAAACTATGTCGCAAAAACATTCGCAAATAGCTCCGAGATGGTTGTGCGACTGGGAGGTGAGATGAACCATCTCGCACACAAACTCTCTCCAGACTGCGAGATGGTAGGTGCGAGTGGGAAAGAAAGACAACCTGAACCGCACAAACATTCGCAATTGGATCTGACATGGAAATGTGGCGGAAGGAGCAAGGAACTGACCCGCAAGAACAAGCAGCAGGATCAGTGCGACATGGCATTGCGGGTGAGCTTGAACCACGACCATCTTGCACACTAGCCACACAATCCAACTGAACTGTGTCAGTACCCAGTTTGTCCTTGGCTGACGCGGTCCAAACCAGACATCTATAAATACTTTTTAGGGTTTTTTTTTTCCCAAGGACACCTTTTTTTCTCTTAAGTTTTTTTGCCTCTTTTGTGTTAAGAAATATTTAGTGAGAGAAATCTCCTTTCTTTGCTTAATCCAAAAGAGTTCTTGAGTGTTTAATCATTTTTTCATCATCATCTATCTATTTTCATCAACTAATCATGCTTAGTTACTATTCTTGCAAAGAAATCAGAGACTTAATCATGATTAGTGAGTAATCACCTCATTAGGGTTCTAGACATGTAGGTTAGGGTGCTTAGGGGTTTGATTAAGCATGCTTGAGACTAGATTTATGCATCTATGTCTTGTTTAGCTGATTTTAATGCTGAGTTTTAGATGATTTCTCTAACCCAGATCTTAGGCATTTCATCCACCTAAAAGGTGTTTGTTGAAATGCCTGAACCAGCTAAATCAAAAGTCTATTGTTTGATTCACATGAGAATGTTGTTTTGAGCATAGATGGTATATTAAGATTAGTGTTTAATGAATTTCTTTCATTGTGCCTCTAATGATGATTATGTATAAGCAATGTTTGAAATTGTGTTTTGATACTTGAGAAAGATTAAAATTTGCTTTAAATCCTAAGCTGCTTAGATCATTCATCATCATTGTCATTAGCTGCTTGATTAAATCCTGATGCACCCTAGCCAACTATATTGTCTAGACCTCTAAGTTTCATCATATTCATATCATCTTAATCATTTGCTGTCTTTGCTTATTGCTTTGCTTGCATTTTAATCTTGTTTTAGACTTGTTTAGCCTTCATTTGTTACTTGTTACAACCAACTCTCTTTGATTTGCTTGGATTAAGATACAAACATGATAGATTAGTGTGCTAAACCACATTATTGGATTGATATTCTTTTATGCTACAACAGATAAAGGGGATTGATACCCTAAGAGTCCAATAAACTTTTGTCTATCAATTGGTGCTGTTGCCAAATTGTGGTTTAGCATTAGTCTCTTGTTTGTTCTTGAGATCCAAGTTTTTTGTTTTGTTTTACTGATTAAAACTACAGGTTCTGAAGTTCCAGGTTTATGTCACATAGACCAAGGACTAGAAGCAGAAGTTCTGAACCAGCTGAGCCTTTCATTGACAACATCCAATAGGTAGAGAGAGCTACAAGAAGAACAAGGGAAAGAGCAGCACATAATTGAGAGGTTGGGTATGGATCCACAAGAGAATCAAGCAGAGCAAAAGGATCAAGTGAACCAAGCACAGGTGGCCAGAAATAAGCAACAAGCCTTAGTTAACCAGAACATGGCTGAGAGAAATGAGCACCAGGCTCAGATGAATCAGAATCAGGCGGCCAGAAATGAGCACCAGGCTCATGTAAACCAGGAGAACCAGCACCAGCAAATGAATTAACAGCCTCAAGTGAGGAATCAAATTCTTGTGGGTGCAAATGACAGAGTCAATACTCACCAGAACAGACAAGGTATTCAGGCTCCACCTGTTGAGAACAATAATTTTGAAGTCAATGCATCACTTCTCAATATGGTTCAGAAACTCCAAGTTCCATGCTTTGCCTATGGAAGATCCCCTAGATCACCTTGATAACCTTGACAAGGTTTGTAACCTTACAAAGATCAATGGTATATCTGAGGATGGCTTCAAGCTGAGACTCTTTCCATTCAGCTTGGGAGACAAAGCTCACCATTGGGAAAAGAACCTGCCTAGAGGATCCATTCAAACTTGGGAGCAGTGTAAGCAGGCTTTCATCTGAAAGTTTTTCTCTACATCAAGGATAGATAAGCTCAGAAATCAAATCTCAAGGTTTACCCAACACACAAATGAGATCTTTGGGGAAGCATGGGAAAGATTTAGAAGCTACATCAACCAGTCCCATCATGGTTTTTCTAAAGCTTCACTACTCAGTACTCTATACAGACGAGCTCTCCCCAAGATAAGAAACCAACTAGATACAGCTTCCAATGGCAATTTCCTTGCTAAGGAAATCAATGCAGCAATGGAGTTGGTGGAAAACTTGGCTATGAGAAATGACACATATGGTGAAGACTATGATAGAGCCTATAGAGGAGATGGTTATAGTGAAGAACAAAGGATGAGAAAGGACATCAAGGAGCTTCAAAGAAAGTTGGATAAGGTACTAGTGGCTACTCAGAAGCCACTACATTTTGTTGGAGAGTTTTATGAACAAACCCTTTGCTTTGAGAATGTGAATGAGGAGGGATTAACACAAGAGGAGCTACATTACATTAGGAATCAAAACAAGTTCCAGAGGTATAACAACTTCAACAACCAGAACGTCATACATAAATCCCAATGTAGCTAATCCAGGAGATCAGGTTTATCCCTCTCAACAAGCTCAGCAAAGCTATGTTCCCAAGAATCAGTTTCAAAGGAACTTTCAGAGCAAGCAGCAGTACATTCAGCAACCTCAGCAGTATGTTCAGCTACCTCAGCAGTATGTTCAGAAACCTCAGCAGAACCAAGGGAGTAACTTCAATAGTCAGCCGCCTATGACCAAGTTTCCACCTGGATTTGGACAGCAGCGGCAGCAGAAAGGTCATCAGATGGGTTCAGACTTGAGTGGGGTTCTACAGCAGATACTTCAGGGCCAGCAAAGGGTTGAGAACAGTTTCACTGATCTGAGTTCAAAGTATGAAGCTATGCAACATTAGCTGAAAGATCTTCAAAAGAATCAAGCTTCCTCTTCTAGAACACAAGGAACACTTCCTGGGAAACCTGAGCCAAACCCAAAGGAGTATGCCTATACCAATACACTCAGAAGTGGCAAGGAATTACCTGAGAGAAAGCAAAGCCATGTGCTCATTGAGGACAATAAGCAACTTGGTGGGGAGGTGCCTCAAGGGAGTGTGCTAGATGATGAAGCTGTAAAGAAAGACAAGGGCAAAGGTGTGGAAAAAGAGATGGTGCCTGAGAAACCATATGTGCCACCACCACCTTATCAGCCCAAACTTCTATTTCCAAGAATGTTCAAGAAGCAGCTCTCAGAGAAGGCTAGAGCTGTTTTTGAAAAGCAGTTGAAGAAGACTCAGTTCACCATGCCCAATATAGAATCCTTCCTTATGGTTCCTCAACTTGGAAAGTTCTTAAAAATGCTCTTTTGAACAAGTCAAGAGAACTACAAGGAATAATGGTCTTAAGTCATGAGTGTAGTGCAATAATTCAGAGGAGGACAATCCCTAAGAACTTATCTGATCCAAGGAGTTTTACATTGCCATGTACTATTGGTCCTCTAAAGTTTGCAAGCTGCTTATGTGACCTTGGAGCATCAGTGAGTTTAATGCCTTTCTCAATTGCAAAGAAGTTGGGGTTCACAGTCTACAAGCCTGCAAGGATATCTTTAGTGCTTGCTGACAGGTCAGTTAGGCTCCCCATTGGACTCCTTGAAGATCTTCCTTTGAAGATAGGTGATTTTGAAGTCCGAACAAACTTCATTGTGCTTGAAGTTGATGAAGAGCCTATGGATCCTCTCATACTGGGTAGACCATTCCTTGCTACAGCAGGTGCCATAATTGATGTGAGAGGAGGCAAGATTGAGTTGCACATTGGATCGCAATGATGATGAAAAAGCCAACAATAGAAGAACAGGTCTTCTATGTTGAGACAATGGATCTGTTGGCTGATGAGCTGTTGAAATAGCTGACATTGGAAGACCCTTTTCAGGTCACCTTTACAAAAGAACCAGGAAAACATGGGTTCTTGGCTGAGGAGAGTGAAGCCTACAAGATGGTGTTAGATCAGCACAGGGTAGCAGGTTCAGAAACTCAGTTTTTGGAGCTGGAGACAAGCAGCCAAGTGGTTTAGAGTGTCAATGGGTTCAGCACAAGTCAGGGACCGGTTCAAGATTGCTGTGAGAGGAGGCAAGATTGAGTTGCACCTTGGATCAAAATCTATTACATTTGATATGAATTAGATGATGAAAAAGCCACCAATAGAAGAACAGGTTTTCTATGTTGAGACAATGGATCTGTTGGCTGATGAGCTGTTGGAAGAGCTGACATTGGAAGACCCTTTTCAGGTCATCTTGACAAAAGAACCAGGAAAAAATGGGTTCTTGGCTGAGGAGAGTGAAGCCTACAAGATGGTGTTGGATCAGCACAGGGTAGCAGGTTCAGAAACTCAGTTTTTGGAGCTGGAGACAAGCAGCCAAGTGGTTTAGAGTGTCAATGGGTTCAGCACAAGTCAGGAACCGGTTCAAGAGTGCATGGCCGTGGGTATGAAACCTGAGGAAGAGGCTAGACCTGTTGAGGACGTCAACAGCAACGAAGCTCAGGCTAATCAAGAGAGCTTCATGGAGGACTGGGATGAACACAAAGATCCATCTGTTGAGCTTAAGCCACTCCCAAAAGGGCTCATGTATGCATTTCTTGGCTCCAATTCATCTTATCATGTGATCATCAATGATAGCCTATTAGTTCATGAAGAGAATGCTTTGTTGAATGAACTAAGAAAGTATAGGAGAACTATAGGCTATACTCTAGAAGACATTAGAGGGATCTCACCTGACTTATGCACTCATAGGATACATCTGAAAGATGAATCAGTGACCTTTATAGAGCATCAAAGGAGATTAAACCCAAATCTCAAAGATGTGGGTAAGAGAGAGATCCTCAAACTGCTTGAGGCATGAATAATCTATCCTATTTCTGACTCAAGATGGGTTTCTCCAGTACACATTGTTCCTAAAAAGGCTGGCATAACAGTGGTCATGAATGAGAAGGATGAGCTCATCTCCACCAGAAGTGTGACAAACCATAGAATGTGCATTGATTATAGGAAGTTGAATGCTGCATCAAGAAATATCATTTTCCACTTCATTTCATTGATCAAATGCTTGAGAGGCTTGCCAATCATCTCTATTACTGTTTTCTAGATGGATACTCAGGGTTTTTCCAAATTCCAATAGACCCTATAGACCAAGAGAAAACAACATTCACCTGCCCTTATGGCACTTATGCATATAGAAGAATGCCTTTTGTTTTGTAATGCACCAGCCACTTTTCAGAGGTGCATGATGTCTATATTCTCTGACCTGATAAAGGAGAAAGTTAAGGTGTTCATGGACGATATCAGTGTCTATGGACCCTCTTTCTCTTCTTGTTTGTCTAATTGTCTCAGGTGCTAAGGAGATGTGAGGAGACAAAGTTGGTGCTGAACTGGGAGAAGTGCCATTTTATGGTACAAAAAGGCATTGTGTTGAGATATAAGGTGTCTGAAGCTGGGATAGAGGTTGACAAGGCCAAGGTAGATGTCATTGTTAATCTGGGGGCTCCAAATTCAGTCAAAGGAGTCAGAAACGTTTTTGGACATGATGGGTTCTACAGGAGGTTTATAAAGGACTTCTTAAAGATAGCAAGACCCTTGACAAGGCTTCTATGCAAAGATGTGGAGTTTCACTTTGATCAAGAGTGCATTGAAGCTTTTGAGAAGATCAAGAAAGCTCTGATAAGTGCTCCCATTGTTCAAGCACCAGATTGGAGCTTGCCTTTTAGATCATGATTGATGCATCAGACTTTGCAGTTGGTGCTGTGCTGGGACAAAAGAAAGACAAGAAGCTTCATGTCATCTACTATGCAAGTAGGACATTGGATACAAATCAAGAGAAGTATGCAACAACTGAGAAGGAGATGTTGGCTATTGTCTTTGCTTTTGACAAGTTTAGATCCTATTTGGTGGGGTCTAAGGTGGTGGTCTACACAGACCATGCAGCCTTGACATATCTGATGACAAAGAAGGATGCTAAGCCCAGATTGTTAAGATGGGTATTGCTTCTCCAAGAATTTGATATGGAGATCAAAGACAAAAAGGGTATTGAAAATGGAGTAGTTGATCACTTGTCTAGACTAAGAGTGGAAGCTGATGTCCCTCTTAATGATTCTCTACCTGAAGAGCAGCTCATGGCGGTGAAAGCTTCGAATGAGCTGGAAGAAATCAAGCCCATCAAAAAAGGGGGTTTGCCATGGTTTGCAGACCTTGTGAACTATTTCTCATGTGGAGTGGATCCTTCTGAAATGAGCAACTATCAGAGAAAGAAGTTTTTCAAGGACATCAAGAGGTTCTTTTGGGATGAGCCATATTTTTATGTGCTTAACAATGATCACTTGTACAGAAAGGTGTGTTGCTGAAGAAGAGGTTCCATGGATCTTGTTGGAGTAGCATGGATCTGCCTATGGAGATCATCATGCAGCATTTAAAACCGTGGCTAAGGCACTTCAGTCAGGTTTCTGGTGGCCAACCATGTTCAATGATGCTCAAGCTGTTTTTGTGAGGTGTGATGTCTGCCAAAGAGCTGGAAACATCTCCAAGAGGAATGAAATGCCTCAAAAACTGATCTTGGAGGTGGAGATCTTTGATTGTTGGGGAATAGACTTCATGGGACTTTTGATATCTTCACATGGGAACCTTTACATTCGTGTGGCAGTGAATTATGTCTCCAAATGGGTTGAAGCTGTGGCAAGTCCAACCAATGATGGTAAAGTGGTGGTGAAGCTATTTAAAACCATCATCTTTCCAAGATTAGGAGTGCCTAGAGTTGTTATAAGTGATGGTGGAAGCCACTTTGTGAACAAGACCTTGGAGGGACTTCTTAGGAAGTATGGAGTCAAGCATAAGATAACCAGCCCTTTTCACCCTCAGACAAGTGGACAAGTGGAAGTTTCAAACAGACAGATCAAAACCATTTAGAGAAGACAGTGAGCTCATCAAGGAAAGACTGGTTCAAGAAATTGGATGATGCATTGTGGGCTTACATGACAGCTTTCCAAACTCCTATTGGCACTTCCCCTTTCAATCTCATTTATGGGAAGAGCTGCCATTTGCCTGTTGAACTGGAATACAAGGTATTATGGGCTGTCAAGTTGCTGAACTTTGATATAAAGACTGCTTAGGAGAAAAGGCTTTTGAAACTTCATGAGTTTGTAGAGATAAGGCTTGATGCTTATGAGAGCTCAAGGATCTACAAGAGAAAACCAAGACCTTGCATGATCAGAAGATAATGAAGAGGGACTTTAAGGAAGGAGACCTTGTGCTGCTGTTTAACTCAAGGCTCAAGCTGTTTGCTGGGAAGTTAAAGTCCAGGTGATCTGGCCCTTTTATGATCTTGGAAGTGAGAAGCTATGGAGCTGTTGTTCTTGAAGGAAAGGATGGCAATGGATTTTTTATGAATGGACGAAGGATAAAACCCTATCTGGTCAATGCAATCAAGGAGGGAGCTGCCTCAGTCCCTCTTGATGATCCCCCAACTCATCAATGAGTATGAAAAGTCAAACTTAGTGACTTAAAATAAAGTGCTCTTGGGAGAAATCCCACGCTTATCCTTGTATATAAATCTTTTTAATCTTTTCTTTTTTATGTTTTAGGATGTTCTGATACATTTTGTGAGGTGGTTTCAGGTCTTAGGTAATTTGGAAGTGATGTGGCCCAAGGAAAAAGTGAAAAGGAGTGTGGAAACAGCTGAGAAAGGAGCTTAAGGCAATGGATCTTGTTAGCCGGCTGTAGTGCACGACTTGGGACTGCGGCTTAACCATCTCGCTCCAAAGAAACTTGGTCCAGGAAAACTCCTAGTTGAGGAATGCGAGATAGGAGTGCGACTCAGACAAAGACATGACCCATATTGCACTAAGATTCGCATTTGGCTCCTAGATAGGTGTATGTGTCGGTGTTCCCTGGATTATATCACACCAGAACTCGCATTTGGCTCCTAGATGGCAGTGTGAGTCAAGTTTCCATAGACCCATGTCGCAGCACCAAAAGAAGCCAAGACGTGCATGCATGTTGAGCTGTGCGAGATGGGAGTGCGACTCAGACAAAGGAAGGACCCATCTTGCACAACAGTTCGCAATAGGCCGCGGGATGGTGCTGCAGGTCAGAGAAATATCAGGCTACGTCGCAGCTTGTAGAAGAGGCCAAGAATTACATGAGTGTTCCAGGGTGCGATATAAGTGTGCGTGTCAGGAAAAATAGGTCCCATCTTGTACCAAAACTCGCAAATGACTCCGAGATTGCTGTGCGGGTCGGAAAGAGATCGAATCATGTCACACAAAAGCTCGATTCAGACTCCAAGATGGTGTGTGCGGGGTCAACTCACACTATGAAAAATTCAAGGGTTTAATGGTCAAATTGGATCTATGAACCGCTGGTCCAAACTGAGTCTGACCCACACACTCCTTCTTCTCCAAAGAAACTCGAGTTTGCCTCTCTAAACTCTTTCTTTTTGCATTGCTTCTTGCATAAATCTCTCATTTCTCCATTAAATTCATTGATTCAAAGTGCCTTGAACTTTTTTTTCTGTTGGTAATCTCATTCTGCAAGCATATTGAGCTCATTGCATCATAATTCCAAAATATTCACTCTGTTAAAACTCATCTTTTTTTTTATGTCTTTAATGGTGATTTTTTAGCTTGAAATGTGTGGAATCGATTTTAATAAGTTGATAGATACATTGGGATTAATTTGATAAATGCTAGGATGCTAGATTATCATGGAAAACAGAGTTCTTGCTTGGTGATTCTTGGTTCTTGAATTTTGAAAATTAATTGCAAGAAATCCCTTTTAAAATCGTTTTTTCATAGAATGGTGGTGAACCTGTTTCTTGCTGAGTTTTTGCTTTGCACTTTTGCTTAGCATTGCTGTGAATTTATTAGACTTATGCTTGGCTTGAGAAACAACTTGTTCCTGAACTTCAAAAATCGATTTTTGCATTAATTTTTCAAAAAAAAACTTGTGACACTTTGTGAATATTGGTTTTGATGCTCACTTGTTTTTGAGAATTTTTTTGTAGATAACTGAGAGGACTGCTGTCATTGCTAGTCAGAAGAAGGATCAAGCATACAAAGGGAAAGCAAAGACCTCAGAATCATCAAAACCAAAACCAAGTGGCAAGAACACCAAGAAAGCTACAAAGAAAAGCAATGGAAACCAGCGGCCAAGAGAGCAAGGAATGATGAAACGGCTTTATTTGATGCTTCTGGTTCAAAGAAAAAGGGGAAAGAGGTGGAATTGGTCTCAGATGAAGAGAGAACAGAGAGTGAATCTGAAGGGAACTTGGTTGAGGTTGCACAAGGTGTTGTACAAGAGGCGGCCAAGAAAGCAAAGCCGAGTGCACCCTCAACAACTGATTACCTGATGAAATTCCAACAGATTGGAATTAAACAAGGGAGT